TAGCTATAGCTACATGGCCTACGTGGCCATGTTAAATGTTACCTAGAAATGCTAGGTCTTCTAACTGAAACCATAAACATGTTGTTGGCTCTTGGTGACTGCTTGCATATGTAATGTGTTCAATTCTTGGTAACCAGGTGTTGCCCATCTTTGCATCACGTCAAAAATAAGGAAAATTCATGGATGAAGAAAATATGAAAACTGCAGACATGTGTACCTGGCTTATTAGCGTCATCAGTACTGTATAGCCAAGTGTAAGGTTAGGTAACACTTGGTTGCAGGAAACAGCACCAATGCACTGAGTCGTTAACAGAAGCCACCCACACTTAGTGGTTCTGCTTAGGTCACCTCGGGTTGGAGATTTTACTAAAGTTATTACGAAAGCTTCAGCTTGACACACTGGTCCAGTATACAATACAGAAGACAGTTCAGCGAGTGGATCTGATATACATAAAAAAGTGATAATTCATGAACACGTGTCTGCAAACTGCCGACACGTGTTTCTGGCTCATTAGCTGTCACCAGTACAGTGTAGCCGAGTGTAAGGTTAGGTATACAATACAGAAGACAGTTCAGTGAGTGGATCTGATACACAAAAAATAGTGAGACACGTGTTTCTGGTTCATTACCTGTCATCAGTACAGTATAGCCGAGTGAGTGCATTTGTGCTGTTTCCTGCAACCAAGTGTTGCCTAAGTGAGGTTAGCTCTAAACTCCAGACATCACCAAAAGATGGCGAATGAGACTTGGCAAAAACGGTGTGGAAATAATCCTTGTGAGGATCAAAAACACAGAACACAGAGCAAAACCTGGAAAAGTTGCTCATGTTGTAGACTAAAAACTTCAAAAATCATGTAAAAACTGAAGTTATATGTTTGTGATGACAAGTAATAGCACAAATTTCAACTTGTCATTCCAGATAGAATCGAGCATTCATTAAATATATTTTGCCCTGCTGACCCAGTGATCACATGATATCAAATCTGTATCTGCTCGCTTGGCTCCAGATTTTTAAAACAAAACACACCTCCTGAAGACAACCCAATTTCTAACAAATCTGAAATAATTTTTATGAAAACTGATTTACTTTCTCGATATCCCATATCAAATATCAATTTTAGTATATGTTTAGGTCCATGTACATACATACCTATCTTATTGAAATACCTGCCATAAACTCTGAATATGATATGAAAAGGCCATCACAAAAAAGATGCTTAGCAGATTATCCTGATCAACAGATTTTAAGATATTTAGGTACTTGTGGAAAAACACTTTGACGAGTTTCTTTCAGATACAAGTCCAATTCAATGATGTTTCTTAATCAATATATAATGGTCAGATCCAACGACAAAATCATCAGATATAATACTATGAACTCTTTCTCTCAGTTCAAACATTGTAAGTAGTGGCAATAACCTAGTGTCACCATCAAAATTTATTAGACAGACATGCTATTGACAAACAAAATAAAGAAGTTACCCACAAGGAACACCTATATCATGCTGGTCCTACATTGCATATGTACTTTACATTTGAGACTAAGCTAAGTCAATATTTGGAATTAAATTATTAAAAAAATACCAGGAAATTTTCTGTTGGTAAATTTGCCCATAGAAATATAATTTTCAACGGAATAGTCACTGGAAGAATATTTTCATTCAGAATATATAATTTATATGCAAAAATTAATCAATATACCTTTGCTTTGGGTCTAAATTCAATTATTCACCCTTGTCATATTCATTAGAACAGTATAGACATTTGGCATTAGGTGATCGTACAATATTTGCCAGTGACATGGTTGACGTTTGATTTTACCGATTTACAGATGAACAACAGCGATTAATTTTGGAAAGCATGAAAATGATTTTGGTTACCTACTTTCGAACCTTACCCTTGAAATTATTCACAAAATTTCTGATGTATTGCGTCAACCAATAGAAACGCGCTAACGTTATGAATGGACCAATAGATGGATCTATCGATAGATTCATTGGTGAATATAAAAACTCGTTTGAAATTTAAGATAGGTTTTACGGTCAGCAATCTGAAGAATCTGAAGTACGGATTGAACCGCGACTAAATTTTGTAGTTTTTCGACTTTTCAACTTTTAAGCCATTTTCAAGATGCACCAATAAAAATGTAAGCGCGTTTCTGAGATTCAATTAGGAGTTCTGCAGGTATTTCCTGCTTCCATACGTCATTCTTGGTTTTTGAAACGCACCGTACTCAGCCAAGTGTTTGTTGTCCAAAATACCGAATAATGTTCCATCCGGCTTGTCTTTCCGAAGATAATTCAAAATAAATGTATGCTGTTGTCGTACTATTCCTATCAAATTTAATAAAGTTTCAACATATCTCGTTTTTCTACATTCGAGAATGAGGGCACCTCGACTGAAGTATTTGTGCAAACTATTTTTGGCAATTAGTGTTTATTAAACAAAATTTATCGATGGAGTCATGACCATTTCAGATGAAGTTGTTTTTTTTTAGTACCTGTGGTTTCAGAAGAGCAGAACATAACAAATAATACATCAATGAAATCAAAATGAGAAACACAAGTTTTCTGTATGAAAAAAAAAACAATATGGCACCCATAGATAATAGAAAAAAAGTTGATGTTGATTGTCAGAAGACGAAACGTAGGATAGTCAATCTGAACATAAAAACGTGTAACTGAGAAAAAATGTCAATGAAAACGTGCTTTTGGTTTTCAGCTATGTTATCAAATAACGCTAAATAAAATAAAAACGAAAATTCCGATTTTCAGTTTTTTTCGGATATTTCCGGAAATACTCGGAATTTTCCAAGTTCTAAAACAGTGTTTTGTTGAGCACAAATTCACCGCTAGTTCCAGAAATACTCGGAATTTTATTAGAGACAAAAAATGCAACTTTGCTCCAATTTAAACTTCGACATATCTCCTGTAGTTTAGGAGATCCCAATAGTGGAGGGGTCGAATTTGAATTATAACTGTATACCTAACTGACGACTGGCAAGCCAAGCCGGGCGGTCGTCGTGGTGCGCGGGGAGTTTTTTCGTTGCCTGGCAACGGTGAGTCAAAGTCACATTACACGTCGCTTGTCGGTTTAAAAATCGCGCGTTTCACAAAAAAATTAATACATGTGATATCCTACTACTACACCCTCCTCTCCCTTGTGATATTTCTTGATTTTTTGCTTACCCCCTTCCTTTCAAGCCTCACGTGATTAATGATCACTGAACTCTCTTAACTGATATCCTAATTGTTTGAAGGTGATTGACAATGTTTCATGATGAATTTCACTATTTCGGACTTCCATTGTCTACTATATTAAATTAATTGAAATCCCTGAAAAAACTAAAAAAGAAGAATTGAAAATGAATAACTGAGAATGAAAATTATATTAACCAAAATAAACGTGAAATGAAATCATAGTGAAATAAAATACAAGTAAAAATAGAACAATTGAATAAATAAAAATGAAGAAATTAAAAAAGATAATAAAAATAAAAAGTGGAGAGATTCCAAGTCACGTTAGTTCACGACGTTTCGATTGTTAGTATCTACAATCGTCTTCGGGTGATGTTTTTTCATAAATTAAGTGTGGCCTTATTTCTGTCACGAAAATTATGTTGCCGACGTTTTCCTATAACTCCTATCACTCTCAGATTTCTCAAATTTGGCATCGTGATCATAGTAACGTTTTTATTATCCAGATGTTGTAAATGGACAATAGCTGCGCTTATAAGCAGCAGAGGAAGATTAAACTTCCTCTTGAAGATGTTGAGATAAAACTCTAGTAATATTCATCCTGTATATTATCGATTATTAAAAAAAAAATGCCGTCCATTACTCTCCATTAGGAAGCAGTTTGTCTAAAGACATATCTTGATATACCCTGTACATCAAGCAAAAAATCACTATTCAGGCTGAACTCGATTGTAATATTCATATAATTTATAGTTTTACAAATACTAAAATACAGTGCATTTCTTTACTGCCCCGCTTTTTTATTTTATGAACGGGTCAACTCAAAAAATTGAAATTTGAGATAATGAAATAAATGCATGAATACTTTACTTTGAAGTGAAATTGACAGATGAAACTTTTAAGATGGCGACTGGGCGCCATCCCGCCATCTGGGAAAAAATGGAAAGGGGGGTCTTGTGACACATCTTTTTGAAGCTCCTGACGAATACTTCACAACCCTAAAATATGAAATCGATATCTTCACCTACTACAAAATGGCGAAACATTTAAGAATTGCCTGAATACATTGACATTTAACTCCATAATATGAGGTAATAAGCTTGAGGTCAGAGTTCAGTAGATAAATATATGAATATTGTTTATGAATATATTTGTTTAATTGAAATTGACACCTGGCAAGCTGATGAGTAATCTATTATTCTATGTCTAAATTATAATTATTATGACAAAAACTTTATTTGATTGATAGAACGGATTGAACCGAATCGAGGCTCGTTCGTTGTTATTGTGCTCAAAGTCATATTTTTGTAGCAAGAAGTAAATCCTAATTAACTTTGGCAGTGAACAATCAATTCATTTCTCATTGAAAAATCATTTTTCATTTGGTTTCTTGTTTTAGTGATGATATGTTGAAACACGAATAGGTATATTGACTTTCGTTCAAATGGATGTTTATTTGCTTTTAGTAGGTATGATAATTATTGTGAAAGTCAGTACCTACCTGAATGAACTCTCAGATCATTTGATTTGGAATTGAATTTATATAGCTAATTTATAATTTAGAGGGGTGAAACTACTCACTGTGATTGAATTGTTGAAAAATAGGGTAGAAAATTAATATATACAAAATGATGTGAAAAGGAGAAAATATACATGATAAATATTTTCCTTCTTTCTTCAAATCTTTTTATCTGACGTAGTTACCTATCAGATCTCACACAAGAGATTTTGAGTAAAGAGAAATGAAATAGTAGACATTAAAACAGCCATAGGTATTTATTTTAAAGGTAATGAAAATAGTAATCTCAAAATGTACAAATCTATTTATTGAGACTAGCCACAGTAAAATATGAACTATATGAAAATAGTTCTGAATTGATACAATGATAGTAAGGTATACGTGATTTAAAACCTATTTGCTTAAAATCATCTACAGATTCCAAAGGCAAATACAAACATTTTAGTACCATCAGCTTTATTCCACTTATTGAGTTTCTGAATTCTGATAAGTTTTATATTAGCTTCATTTTCAATATTTACTAATTTCTCAGTGTACTTAGCTTGTTTTGAAACATAATTCATTCTGAAACCCTGTAGCTTTTTTAACAAAATGGGGAAAGAGGCTAATTATTTACCTATTTATTCACCAAAAATATTTTTTGTCTCAATTTACCTTACAACGAAAACTGATGGTACTTCCAATCTACTAGTAAAATTCAATTGTTATTCACAAAATTGACAGAAACATAAATAAAAACATTTCATAATTTAAACAAGACTATTACATTACACATATCAAATCTTTTATAACTCCCTTGTAAATGAATTATCATTTCAAATTTCATTTTCATCTATATATGAGCAGTCATATACTGCTGTCAGAAAAATTGGACATTTTTCGGGTTTGTTAGCAATTGTCTGCAGGTTTTTATGCTGTAGACATCAAAGATGATGAGGCAGCGGACGAAGTACTCTAGTTGTCGTCAAAGCAGATTCATTATTGGAATGTTTCTCCAATTTTATTCCAAAGGTGCTCCTGAAGGCTCTCTGGAGTCCTTAGTTTTCGTTTGACTGAATATTGGTTTCGAACTGTGTTTCTCCAGAATAATAGACCTTACTAGAGTTACCCTCTCCTGGTTGTATTGCCTGTTTTTTCTATTCCTTATCCATCTCAAAGAAAAATGTAATTAAAACGTTGAGAGAATCCGACGCATCTGTGAACTTGAGTCTTCCCATGAAACTCAAAAAACGAAAACTTGCCTTCAAAGGGAATGAGAAGTAGAATTCAAGCAGGCGACCCAGGAAAGACAATGCCAAAGTAACTCCAGCGAGCTTCGTTAATGAAAAAACTTTGATCCTCTATGTTACAAACTGGATTGGAAAAATTCTAGATAATCACAGTGTGAAACCAATATTCACGCCAACGGAAACTAAGATTAGACAAGGAACTTAGAGAGTCTTCAGCAACACCAGGGGTATACCGGATCCCTTTGTAGCTGCAGGTCAGTCTGCATCGGAACTACGAAAACAAGTGTAAGTTTCCGGCTCTCTGAACACAAGAGAAATTGTCGCCTTGGGCAAACCTACAAATAAGCTGTAGCTTAGCATGTATTGAAAGAAGGCACTTGCGTTATCCTGTTTGAAGAAATAGAAGTACTTGACAAAACTATCTGAGAGTATATATTAAGGCGATAGAAGTTCAACACAGATGTTGCACCAATAGTAACGAAGCCACGCCTATCACCAATGTAATAAAACCGCGCAGAAACATTCCAATAATGTAGTGACCAAAACAATAAACTTTTCCCACACCAGATAAAAGACACTGTCTCTCGAGGCGCGTTTAGCTTATTGAGTTAGACTCATCAGAATAAAGACTAAGTTTCTACATTTAGGTCTATTTATATCATTACTTTTTGTAATGAGATGACAAAGGTTGGATGATAAAGTATTTATCATTTGATGATGCATCAGCAGATTACAGAATATATCATCAAATGATGATAATTACTTGGCTAGGAAAACACGCGTCACAAAAAACAATTTATTGACCTCATTTGATGACCCCCATTATCTGAGGTGATTTATAAGTATAAATGGTGTGGGAAAAGCGTTTTCTTCAAATCAATTTTATGCTAGCGATTAAAATCCTACCTATCAAAATATAGTATCTGATGTGAGGACAACTTGAGCTCTTTGTCTGTTGCCTATTGCATTTGATAATGTCTCAGTTGTGGAGTGAAACATCAGACATACAAATCTGCAGATCACGGCTTTTACTCGGCTTTGGACAAGTTTCTTAGTGAAACATATTGAATAATCAATATTTGTTTACTATATTCGAAATACTTTCATAGAATCCATCTGGAAAAATATCAATGTTATTTATTTCTCCATTCAACTGTAATTTGATGTATAATTTGAATGCTATTACCCGAGGAGTATACTCTGTGTCCAAGATAAGGGTAACATCATGGGAAAAGTCAGAAGACGTGAGAGATACAAAGTCGGTTAAAATTGAAAATGTTGATCATTTCAGAGTTTACTCGAATGAGGTTTTGAAATCAAAAAAATTCTCATTGGTTCAGATAAATTTCGTTTCAGTTTTATCTGATGATATTCTTCAAGAAGGTATTAAAAACAAAAACACTTTCACACTTCTCAAGCTGTGCAAGATGGCGTTTATAGATTTTCATTTTGACGTTTCGTCTACAAAAATCCACGATAAACTTCATTTTTTTCATGTAGACTGTGTTTTGGCATATTGAATTTGTACTATAGGAACAATATTCAGTCAACCACGGTTCAAGGGAACAAAAGAAATATCTGTAAAAAAGGCAGAACATATTTTGTTTCAGTAGTATTCAAGTAGTCGCTGAGATAACAAGAAATGAGTAAAACCTATTGCAATTTGCTCATAGTAGTTTTTTCAAAGTCTAGAAAATTAAACAGATCAAGTGATATTATTAGATTTGTTGTTCTTCACTATCATTTCCATCCATTCTATTTCGACCATTTCCCCTTTCCACTCATCACCACCCGGTATAAGTTAACCTTTTTGGTGTCATTTAAATAGGATCTAAAATAGGCAACTTTTTCTAATTTGAGACTTTGTTTCTTCTGGGGTTTTCAATTTTCACATGCTGGCTCTCCTTATTTTGGACACATTGTATATCATAGAAAAATATTTCTTCAAGAATCCAGAAACATTATGAAAGTGAATTGATTTATGGGCATACCTAATATAAATATTCGAAAACAAGTAGTTGAAAAGATTTGATGTCGTTGGCATAAAAGAACGAATATCTAGATAGTAGGTATTCCTATCACGTCACGATAATACTCAGAGGATGCAACATAATTCAAAAATATGCTATTAAACATTTAAGAACGAAGTGGCGTAACTAGGAGACATTTTGTGTCTTTTTGTTGAAATGTTGCTCAACTGATAAGTATAAAATATACCTATTGAACACAATATTCTATGGGTTTCCATAAGATATATGAACTTGGAATGGATATCCTTTGGTGGATATGAGATTTTTTAAAATGTAGGTCATCTTGGTTGGTACGTACACTCTGGACATCCATAATATATTCTTCGGATATAAATTGAACGTTCACTGGATATCAATCGAATGTCCGCTTGTTGTCTGTAATGACCTGCGATTTCCCGCACGTTATTAGATGAAACTACTTGCGAACACTTCGTCTCAAACATAATCCCCCTCTAAAGTATTCTTATTTAAAACTACATTTTCAAACATATACTATTTTACTTATTTTTCTTTTGTTTTTTCTTCGTCTTCTGCAGGAGGTTCTCATTAGAAGGTGGAGTATTTTCCGTCAAGATATTATCTCGAGTTTCTGGTAGATCCTGAAAACCAGAATAGAAAGTTGTAGTACAACAGAAAAATATTGAGATACTTGTTCTGACTATATACTAGATGTCGTTTATCTTCATTTATCAAGCAGATAAATTTGAGTGATGTATATTTGAAATAATCTGATTCTTTATTATGCAGAATGAACATGTGGAGAAGCTCTCCTTAAAAATCAACGAATATGTTTTAAAAAATACATAACAACCTTTGTTAATTTTTTTCATTTCGTTAATACACAAACATACAGTGACTATTTGTCAAAAAACAAAATATTATGAAACTCTCAACATGGTTGCAGAAACAGCAATCTATTGAATCGGAAAAACATATTTTTTTTAAGCCACGAATCATTTACCTGATTATGTACACACCTAGATTAATCGTAACAATTAAGTTCTCTTCGTATTTTTCGATTCATATTGAAGAAACTATATAGTTTGGGAACCTCAAAACACGTAATGAATTGGTTCGAATCCTATATGATTGGGAGAACAATGATGGTTTCAGACAATGGTTCTGTTTCAATACCTTAATAAGTGAACTTTGGAGTAGCCCAAGAGTCGATTTTTGGATCGTTATTGATGTTTTTATATATGTGCACGATCTGCTACAATACCTATTGGAAGGAAACTGAATGATGTTTGCAGAGGATCATATGTGGTAAAGACATGGATGAATTGTTCGTGAAGTTTGGAACCATTGTTGACGAATTCAGTTCCTGGTGTGACACAAATAAGTTGATTCTCAATAAATACAAATCAATTTCTCGAAAATTTCACTTCAAACCTATTTTATTTAGAAATGAAAAATACCTCAGTACCTTGCAAAAGTATAGATAATGCTTATTCCGCCATAAAACAGATGAGTCTGGCTAGCTCTCATGGTTTGGGAGTTTTCGAAACCCAGAGAATAATTGTGAGGCTCATTTTGGTATACATTTTTATATAAGCTGATGATCTATTTTCGTAGCGTATTTATTCAAACTTGCTGTTTGCTGGAAACAACTTGGAACTATGTCTGACTAATGCTTCTGAGCACAATGACAACATATGAAGTTGTGAACTTCCTCAGCCTAAAATGATCTTCAAAAACCCTCCTTAGTTCAACGCCATGAATATTTACAACTTGTTCATTTGATTAAACTCAATAGTAACCGTTTATTTCAAAATAGCATCAATATTTTGATAATGGTGAGAGGTTTTTATAGTTATCAAACATTCTTATAAGATACTTTTAAATACTTTTAAAACACATTATAACTTGATTTTCATTTACTTATGAGTCTGTTTTGTTATATTAGGGGAGAACAGGGCAATGGGAGCCTACTAAGGGGAAGTTTGAATAAAAACCTCGTTAGTCAAAATTCTTGTATTTTTTCATTATAAAATCTTAATATGAAATTATTAATGGAAAACAAAAAATCTAGACTTTACGGATCCAAACAAAATGCACAAATATGAGTATCTGGATTATCACTGCCAGAAAACTCTTTATGGGCCCAGTTTCCGCAACTTCTGCATCGGTACCACATCTCTTCACATTTTCCAGTATTTAAACAAATTGCACATAAATTATCCTCTTCAGAATATTTTGACTCATCATCGCAAATAGTATTTTCGTCTTCTTGATCAATACATGAGTCTTCATCATCACTTTTAAACAAATATTTTGTTGCCCTTCTTATCCTTGTGTTTCTGGTTGAAGTCTTCCTACTTTTTATCTCTTTATCTTTGGTATGTTTTTTTAATACATTCACCTTTGGTACATTTTCTCTTGACACACTTTTCTTTATCACAGTCTCCTTCATCTTCTCAATTGCCTTTGTCTTATTCTCCTTTTCAGTTCTTTTCCTCTTTTTTTCTTCAAATACTGCTTTATTTGTAGTACTTGTTATTATTACAGAATGCTGTTTGTTCTTCAACGGTCTTGGTTTTTTAGAGATGAGTTGTTGGGGCAGTGGACTAACAATGGAGACAGCATTAGCAAAGTCAATATTGGACTGAGTTGCGATAGATCTGGCGGAGTGTGTCTTCAGAATAACAGGCAGTTCCGCTGTTACATATGATGTGGATGGAATTGAAAATGGAGTTACAGCAGCTTCCCTCTGAATAATTTTCTGGTTCAATTTCCAGACCACAAAAAATAGATGGACTTGTTACAGGGCTAGCACATGGTTGCTCAGCCTGATTTAAGGTTGATGGAATAGAAGTGATATTCGTTGGCTGCTGTTGAGCGTCAGCCACCAGCACAGTTGATCTGGATTCCTCATTAATCAACTCATCATTGCAAAAAACTCCAGGATTCATTGGGAATATTCCCGTTGCCTTAAAGCTCGACACTCCTTTTTCTATAGAAGTAACTCTAGTATAGGCTTTATTAAACAGTCCAGCAATATCGTATATATGGAGTAATTTTTATCAGATTTCTAGATTTTATATACAAGTTGCACTCTTTGTTATAAGCTCTTTCAAGCGGGGAATAAAATGCAACGTCAAGGGGTTGTAAACGGTGAGATGAATGAGGAGGAATGGTTAGAATTATGACATGGTTCTCTTTGGCCATTTCCCAAGCTTAGAGAGTAGCATGAGTGTTACGATTATCAAATATTTGCAATACGGGTGTTTCAGCAGCAGGTTTGGTGTATTTAATGAAATGACGAAGCCATACAACAAATATCTTTTCGTTAGTCCAACCATTATGTGAACATGTGTAAACGGCTCTCACTGGTCTATTTTTTTCAGCTGTGGTGAGTTACGTTGCCGGGGAAATATGAAAAGCGGAGAAACGAAAGATCCAGATGCACTCATAGCACATATTACTGTGACAGTTTTACCTCTTTCCCATGATGTTTCAGATCCGACGCGTTTTTGTCCTTTGGGAGCTATAATTTTTTCAGTCTCCTGGATGGTCGTTATACCAGTCTCGTCACAATTTTAAATCATTTAAGGCTCGAATTTATGTTGTTTCATCAATATCTCCAAATTATTGAAAAAAAAGCGTTATCTCAGTCTCGTTAAATCCGAGGATTCGGTTGATACTAATGGCTTCAGGCTTTCTAATACTCAAATCTGGATGACGCTGCATAAATCCAGCCAGCCAATCTTTTCCTGCAGTTTGATTGACTTGGTTAAACCGTTCCTCAACACCTAGTTGTTTAGCTACACTGTAACATACTTTGCGAAACTGTTCTCTTGTCAAACCATGAAACTTATTTGACATAGTCCGAAGATGGTTAGCCAGTATTTCTTCTTGGGCTACATCAAATACAGTACTTTTTTCCAGCTTAGGAGAGTTTTTGTAGCTACTATCTTCAGCTTTCGCTAAATTGTATCTCTTCTTTAGAGTGCTGTAAGGAATGCCAGTCTGTTGAGATACTTTTTACACTGACATACCTCCTCTTTTGAGAACAGATATCACGTTTTCTAATGAATCCACTGTCCAAGAAGCTTTTGTGGTTTTCATTTACGTGGCATCTAAAACAAAAAAACAAGGCATTATGTTTCTTGAATGACTAAGTGGGGTAATGGGAGCTATGTCGGGTTATAAGAGCCTAGCTAGGCTACCATTAGCCGCTGAGCACCATTTTGAAAAGTAATAACATAATTATGTAATTCTATTCTCATCAATCACAATTCAATTATTTGGGGATTTGTTAGTAAACGAATTTAGAAATACAAGAAGTATAAATACAATAAAATAAGAATATAATTTCATGCTTACCTTGATGCTGGTAATCGGCAATTTCGTGTAAGCGTGGAGCGAAAAACATACAAGCGTTCCAAATGAGTAAACGAATGGCACTAACGGTTCGAGCGCGTCAGGCAAAGTTTGCAGATAGTTGACGAAAACAGCCGAGTGCTTACGATCGCGCAAATGTGCCTGCATTCCGTTCAATCACCATAGCTCCCATTGCCCGACCGCTCTCATTACCCCGTGATCCCCTAAGTTGTTTCAAATTTTCTGTCCGTTTATATGAGTCTCCCATGAACTGTGATATCTCAGTGAATACTTATTCAATTTAATCGAAAAAAGTGCCATATGAATCCATACACTTTTGCCTGCTTAACAGAAGTCGATTAATTCCGTCAGCATGAAAATTGTGTGCTCGGGGTTCGATTAAGTCGTCGAAGGCCATTTTTGCCTGGTCCTAATTGGCGAAAGTCCTACCGGTGAGATAGTTATCGTGTACTTGAAAAAATGGTAGTCGTTTGGCGACAGGTCAAGGGAGTATGTCCTGAAAAAATGTTCATCACACGGGACAATCCGATCTAAAAAAAGTATCGTTATGGTTGCGCAAAACCAAAGAAAAACAGATATCGAAACGTGACAATTTCTGTCGATCCTTCAAATCGTGAGGCATCCGCTTTTCGAGCTCTTTAACCTTTCCAATACGTTTTATACCATCAAAAACCGCATGGGAGCAGATGCCCAGTTCTTCCGCCATCCCACGCCGTGTTAGTCTTTACCGGGTCCTCAAGTCCTGGTTACTGTAGGTCGACCACTTCGGCACTTATCTCCGAAGGTAAAATCTCCGGAAAGAAATTTCACAAACCAACGTCGAGGAGTGCGTTCATTAACACTATCATTGTCTAGTACCACTGATAGATTTACAACAGACTAGTTGTTGCCCGCGGCTTCCCCCGCGTAGAATTTGGTTTGTCACATCAAGTTTCGTGACAGACCATTTTAAACAAATAGTTACAATATTTTTTTACTAACCCAAAACTTCAGGTTTTGAACTGACGAAACTCAATACAATCATTAAAAAATATGCCAACTGCACTAAGTAATGAATAGCTTCGAGGATCGAATTATGTTACTTATAAAGAAATTAGCAAAACTAACCAACCTTCAACGACGTCTGCCCTCACGCGTCTGCCGCGTTTTGGTCGCGTTCTCGGCAATGGCTCTTCATTGCTTAGACCGCCCCTCTACCCCTGCACATCTTCCCCCATCATCTTACAGTGGACGCGACGCGTAATGGCTTACTGTC